CACTCCTAATAACCTGAGCGCCCAGACCTAGATAAGAGGACGACTAGGGTCACCAACCAGAGCCTTTGGCTCAAAAGCCTGTCCGCAAGGCAGCGGGGAGGTGGCAGTGATTTAGTTTTACAGAAATGGATGCCATCCGATTTCAAAACCCCAACGTAGAGGACAGGAGACTGAGTTTGTCTGACTTCTCACCATTGAGCAACCTGGTAAGAGTAGCTCTCAAGAGGCCTGTGGACATCACCCAGCATAGCTCAATGGGTCACGTAGGTACGCAAACCGTCGCACCTCCTTGACATTCAGTTTCATTGCGATGGGTTGATTTACCTAACTTATTACTTAATCTATGGGATCAGCAGAGACTGTCCAAACAGGTTGAGACCGCTCCTCCATAGTCCTAATCCCGTTCGGAATGCGGCAACTACAGAGGAATCAGTCTGACCTCATTCGCCTCCAACTTACCTATCACTGTAGTACATCCTAGACAGACTCCGACCCGTGAAAGCCCAATTTCCGTTGCCCAAGCCGAGTTTCGTCCAATTGAAGCTGCATTGACCACATCATGACTTTACGTCAGTTTTTGTAACAGTGCCATATTTGTTGGTGACCCATCATAATCGCGTTCCTCGTCATCAAAGGTGCTTTTGATACATTGGATGGATGTACCCTTCGGGGCTGTCTAATGAGGAAATGTGTGACCTATAAATACATAAACATTATCAGGACGCTAATCGCGTATATTTCGGGCAGAGTGTTAGGGTTTATAACAAACCGTCGCCACCCTTCAAAATCTCTAGCGATGTGGTATAAGGTTGCTCCCTGTCATCTCTCTTATCTAACTTCGCCATCGATGAACTCATGCAAATGGCATTCACTGGACACGAATTAGAAGACTTGGAGCTACTTCTTGACAGAGTATGCTAACGATATTGCCCTAATCTGTGACAGCTCCTTAATGTGCCACTGCACTGGATAGACTAAAACTGACTGTCAGTCGTTTCAGACTATGTTTTGCACCCTCGGAATGCAAATGCCTTCCCCAAGATTGGTAGGAACCCACCCGTGCACTGATCTTTGGTGGCGAGTGATTAGAAGTCCTTCACAAATTCAACTACCTGCGTAGCTCTAGCGGCACCATTGGAATGATGGATGCGATCACTAACCGTGTCGCGAATGCTCGTGCGGCTTTTACCAATCCTCCCCATTTGTGGCGCCGGTGCGACTTCACTCTCGGTCTCAAGAGCAGACTTTAATACAGCCATGCGTTCAACCCTCTTGTACGGCTGCGAAACGTGGCCCATGAGATGTAAAAAAGCTAGTTACATTCGACTATCGCTTACCCCCCACAGCCTAGCTCATTTCTGGGGGGTACACCGCATGACCAATGAGCGTGTTGGGCGTTGTAAATTTGGTGCAGGAAGAGCTAGTTAACCGCTCAGCACCGTTATATCATGCATCGACTTCGGATGGCTGGACTACGTGCTGCGCATACCAGCACACCGACTCCCGCGATGTGCGTTATTTGCGCGCCCAGAGTGTCCACAGAAGAAGACCAGATGATGACTTGGTAAGAAACCCATTACTCGAACTTCGCATCGGTGGGTGCCTCACGCCTGACGGGCTGGGGATCGCAGGACGATGAACACGTTTGGTTGGATACATTGACTGATATGGTGAAAAGCCAGCCCCAATAGCGTTAGTGTAGCGAGTTTCTTTGTCCCCCTTCCATCCCTTTAGCTTCCCTCTTCAACCACCTTCTCACAGCTGATGTAACATATGATACTAAGCATCATATTAACTGTTTTATTTTTATTTATTTTGTTCTGTAATGTTTTGTGTACCATATTTTTAATGTATCTTATGTATATTTCTATGCTACGGCCCATTAGCCGAAATGTTTTTCTCCGCTTCAACTAACCTGTACTGTTGATGAGGATAATTAGATAAGTGCGTACGGAAGTAGTTACTGCCAGGAATAAGAGGATTGAAAACGTGGATTGAAAGTGAAGTTGGAACGAGCCGATAGTGATGAAAAAACTGCAATAAGGGGAAGCATCCTCACCCTTATCCACTATGCTCGATACAGCAGACCGGGCGCTGTTGAGTATCCCCTGCGGCGACCGGAGCATCAAGAAATGGTTTGAAGATGTCTTTGCTTTGTTTTGGTTTGTTTAGCTAGTGTGTCCTCTCTGGCGGTTAGATGACCGAGCTGGATGTTGCACAGATTACTAAGACTCGTGCAGCGTTTAAAAGACTCGTGTTGCTTTTGTAGGCAGTGTTGGGTAGTTAGTGTTATTACTTTGGTCAGGGACCTAATCGCTTTGTTTGGAGGATGTTAGGGGATTGACTCTGATCATTGTTATTTGCGAACCATTGCTCATATCTGGTGGGAGAACTTAGCGATTAATATTGAAATCCTCCATCTACTGTTTAACAACAGACACCAGTGCCTCGTCAGCTTCACCGTCAGTTCCGAATCACCTGTATTGGCTAGGTTTTGTTTTCCGCAATGCAGCATGCCAATTGCATCGATGCTAGTTGTTTGCTACTACGAAATCCAGTTGAGTGTAGCACCGAAGTGTTCAGTCAATGACCTAGAGACTAAGTATGAAGTGACTCACTAAAAGCTGAGTATCTCTGGTACTTACCGTCTTCCTGGACGCGATCCCATCACTTTGGTGGTCGTCTGTACTCTCGGATATATTGCGGCCACGTAACGAATTGCTCTCTTGCGTTCGTTCCCTTCCTTTGTACCCTCGACCATCCCATCTGACAATTCTATTTCTAGTTCATTTGCCTCGTGCTATCATCATGCATATTGTGCATATTATTCTGGCGAGGTGATTCTCAGTAGGTTAATGCTCCACACCTGGTGGTAGGGACAACAGTTAACACGCTGTGCTGTACTGCATCTGTTTTGTTCACTGTGAAGTGCACTACAGTGTTCTCAATTCACAGATATTAGGACTACGCCAAACATTTTCGATTTTCTTTGGTATAATCCATCGGACTTTGAGTCACTCGGGATGTCATTGGGCCTTAATTTAACTACAGGACAGGAATTACTGGTCCATGGTATTGGATTCCGGGACATATGATATATCCTAGCTTTGTTCTTTTTTCACATTCCTTTTTTGGAGAATCCATTTTTTCTCGTAACTTTAAGACCTTGGTAGTCTATGATTCGAATCCTACTAGTATCCATTCTGACGTGTCACTTGTGTGATCTGACCATATCTCGTGTTCGCTGACGACTGTGTGTGCCATTTAACGACACTTGCAATGCCGGCAACTGTTGCTACCTCCGAAAACCTGGCTGAGTTGTTTCGCCGTCACCTTGTCACGCATTGATATACATTGTGCTGAATGCATCGTCCGTTGCTTAGCTCATGCGCTGCTAGTTGACTCGATTACCATTTGTTTATCTGCATTCTCTGCGATGGTATCTAGTCGTTTGGATGAACGTGGTCAATGCCGCTCAGATAGACAGGAGACCAGTCAAGCGTGACAACGAACTGATTTTGATTGCGATAGCCGGGAAGCGGCAACATTGGTTCAATCTAGAGCGAACGCAATGCAGCTGGTTACAAAAGCGGGAGAACAGATTGATCCGAACAACAGCGATCGTAAACCACATGCGCACGAACAGACCCACACAGTTTTTGGAATGAGAGCCTGTCCACTGAGCAAACGGAGACGGTGGGTAGCTAGTGAACAGCAAGTGAATCAACTGCGGTCCACACGAAGGCACCATAGTTGCGATTGAACATGAACTGAGTTCAGCGTAGCCCTAGACAGTGCAGGAGTGAGTTGGACTAAGCAGATCGGATGAATAGCACTTGTGAACGGCATAACACACGAAACTATGAAATCACTAGTGAGAAGCCGCTGTGGTTGATTTGCGCTTTAAATAGTTTACAGCCGAATACGAAGAAAAAATTAAAGTTGGTTTAAGAAGTATAGACCTATACCATTTTACACGCATGTTAACGCATTGTACCAAGCTTTTAGCGTGGCACCTTTTCGAAATCGCGTGCAGTGCTTTCAAGTTAGCTAGTTTTCCTTCAAATAGGCATCAAAATAAAACAGAAGGTGGTGCTCAACCACTTTCATTGAACTGTCTGTCGATTATGCTGTGAGCTTCCACCCGGTATCCCATTGGGTAACGTCCCATGACCAATGAGAGTGTCAACAGCGCAAAAACAGCGTTCTTAGCCTCGTTAACTTGAAAGCACTGCACGCGATTTTGAAAATATGCCACGTCAAAGGCTTGGTACAATGCGCTAATATGCGTGTAAAATGGTATAGAATTCACATCGATAGATGGATGAGTTTTGCGTTGGACGCATGAATGCTAAGCGTTGTCATTCATTACTGACTGTGCCCGATCCAGTTGGGTTTACAACCATTGGAGTGATCGATGCCGAAAACCCTACCATGAAAGACGACACGCGCAGGTTTTTTACTGCCTTCGTTAGCTGCCTTTATTGAATCGCTCGTACACACTTCAATACGAGCTCGCCATTCTGCAATTCGCTATTCTGATGAGCTAGCGCTCTTTAGTTTGATCTCTTCGTTATCAGACAACGTGACACTAACTCATCAACGGTAATCGATTTGCAGAACGTTACCATACCATTGATACTAATTTTCGTTTGAAGAGCAGGGCAGTTGCACTGTGTGAACGTTACTTGTCTCGGGTCACCCCGTGTCTGTGAAACTTGACTTCTATCTTGTTGAGATCACTTGATTGACGCTACCTATTTGGTTAACATACCTGATAGCCTCATGCACTGACATCTATTGTTCGCCAGCAATGACATGGCTTTGAGGAAGACAATCTGTTCGGTAGGATGCTCAGCATAGTTTAAACGAGCATATATGGTATCGCACACATCGTTTGGGTTTATACGGCCCATAAGTGATCTAAGACCAGTCAACTCCATCATCATCCTCAGCATTCACGTTCACTCTGTCATCGTCCTTTTTCCCCATTTCCTCAGACCATTTTTCCGAACCGAACAAATAATCATTCGACCTCGGAATCAGAGCAATTTCGTGCACAGGTCGTTGTTTCCTTTACCCGGTAAAATGCTAGTGGGACCTGCCCTGCGGAAGTCCTTTCTAGATGAAGTACGTTCCGAATTGATTGCGGTTGGAGCTTGTTATTTATTCTGCATACTTGTGTTATCCTTTCAGGGTTACTGGTGTCACACACACACACCTTAGTATAGCTTCATGGGCATTCACAGACTGCAACCTTCATGTATGTACGTTTGTAATCTCAACAGTCTAGCAACTAGACATAGAGCCAACTTTCATGGCGTGGCCTTGTTACGTCTTTCTGCTAGTATTCCCACAATCTGTAATGGCACTTTCGTCATGTTTCGTGGTCCCTGATTTTCCCTCTTCTTAACCTTCAGTTCGATGGGTCTGTTGTACAGTAGAACAAGTCACATATGAAGATGCCGCTTTAATCTGTATGCACGGCCTACACGCCGTCCCCCAACCCATGCACACCTTTTATTCAAATCACATCAGTCAAGTGTTTCGGCTGATCCACAACGACTGCTGCTAGCCAATCAAAATAATGCAGAGCATAGGTAACGCTCTCTCAAATTCTGATTGCCAGGCTGAATTCCTGCACACTTTTCCCCACAGATGCTTAGCGTTACGTTACTTTTTAACTATATTTTCGAGAATCCCAAGTGCCAGGATTTCATATAGCGTTTACCGATTCGTTTACACTGAAGGGCGCACGTGTACCCCGCGAATCGCTTTACCTAGACCCACCTGTTTCGTACTAGTTGTTTATTGTTGGATTTCGATGCACTCTACAGGGGATTTCAACACATGAATTGTTCCCATTCAAGCATTATAAGGTCGATTGTTGGAGAAATAATTTCCTTCGGTGAATCCCATAAGGTTTCTAACGATTATGACTGTAGCAATGTTCTGATTGTGCAGCTATTTCTCACTTGGTGTGCATTTCATAAGTCTCATTTATCCAAAAGATTAGAAAGAATTAAAAGTGAGTCTGACGAGGCTGCAATCGGGTATGGTTCCCCTAGCCGAACGCCTGAGCCATACGCTTGTCCGAATCGTCCCAATGCAACAAGCTGGTTGATTACATTGGCATCGTTTCGAGATGTCTCAGTGTGATTTGTGAAGCTTAACTCGTAACGCAATATCCAAGGTGGCTCAATCAGCTCCTGGTTGCTTTTGCTCTTGCATCACCAATTTCGGACCTACATTTGTTTGTTAGCTGCAGTCTCCTTCAAAGTCAACCTTTCTTCCATTGTTTTTAAGGTCTTGAAGTTGCAGAAAATGCTCCAGCACTTCTCGGTCTACTCGAAGGAGTTTGGCAAAAACATCTCCCTCGAGGACATTTGCTTCAAACCATTGGCTCCTGACAACTTGGAGTGTGGAATTCAGAGCCCACTGGAGTATTTCCAAAGTGACTCTGCTACTTTCAATCAAACCGTACGTCTCGGTTGTGCTGTCCAACCATTTTTGGTCACTTTGACATATGCATCTCATTCTTTATCGTGTATTTACGGACAATCGTCTTCATCCCGCGTGTCAGCAGTGCATTCATCTTCTTCACGGACACCTCGCGATCACTTGCATGCACGTGTTGTAGTAGGTAACCTCAGTGATCAAGCTTGGGAAAGGAAGTCAGGGGCTTGGTGTGAAATGCCATCACAGTTATCTAGCCAACACTGAGGCGCCTTACTTTTGTTCCTTCTTTTTTCCACAGTATACTTGTAGAGTAGTTCGCATTCGTCTGTCCCTGCTTCATATCTCGAAGGTGCAGAGACGGCCAATGGTCTCAATCGACAGATATAGGCCGCTTTAGTTCCGTAAGCTTCCGTGCGCACCATAGTCTTTACAGAAGCTGGCAGTAAGCGAGAGTAGTGGCAGCGCCAACCGTTTGACGCTGACTCTTTAGGTGAGGCATGTTTGGTCAATACGTGAACGAAACCTGAATGAACTCGGTGATCTTCCGTCTACCGCCAAACCAACTTCCACTAGTTCGTCTCAGACTGTTAGGGACAACCGCCGTCGACAATTGCGATGATGTCCAAAGTACTGCGACAGAGGACGAAACACAAACAGCGTACAATCTTTCGGAATGTGGGTACCTACGTAAGTGGGGACCACTTTCAGTAGATAAATCGCTCTCAGCGGAACGATTTTCCTACAACTTTTGCGGCGTAGCTGCTTGCCATTTCAGTGAGTAACTCTAGGATGATTCTGCGGCTCGAGTGGCGTATGTTATCCCTCATCCCTCTAGTCCGAATTCACCTGATTCGCGTTCATGTATCGTCACTTACCTCATGTGCGCGGCACACATCTTACCTGCACTCTCTTCCCAGTGTATCCACTCTAGGGTGTCATCATCCCGGAAGGTTCAGTTCAATTTTCCCTGTGCACCGAAGTGCGTTGCATCCAGCTGCCGGTGACCGAGTGGTCCGTGCACCTCGTTTGCAAACATAATGTCACCAGTTTGAATCCGCGTAGGGATAGGCGTCCTCGCGGTATACTTAGCCCGCGCGCAACCGGTGGTGATCACCGGTCAGCGAAGCGCCGTTACGGCCTACAGCTGACGATTTTTTTTCCGCAAGGTCACTCCGCGCCGATCTGTGCTTGTTTTGGAACTGACCGCTCCGATGGCTTACTTGCCGCCAGACATATGCCAATTGCATGACGCAGGCTACCGTTATTTAAGTGTTTTTATATCTTCTGTATATCTGTGCTCTTTTCTATTCTTTACTCACCAATGTTAGTAGTAGAATGTCTGAGAAGATGCTTTTGATCAACGAATGCGATTTGTATACTGGATTTCTGGAAAAAGTTTGGATTCTAGTCCATTTAGGGTTCACTTATCTATTCTTTAGGAGGTGCTCCTTTCAACATATTCGTTAGCTAGGAATCAGAACTCGGGAAGGGCATGCAAGAGTGCCGGCTGCAGTGGAGTATTTAACGATTGAAGTGACCGATTCAAAGGGTCTCGTCTGGAAAAATGAGGTAGTGATCCGGCCCATCCTTTGCGTGAGTTTCACCATTCCCTTCGACGATATCATTGACTCGCCACCAACTCGAGGTGTCACCAAACTAGTCTCAGTACTGACAAACCACACACGCCAACTGAGTCGACAGAAAGGCAAGCACAGGTGACTTGACCTGAGCAGACACCAATGAGGCACTAAGTTATTTGTTGTCAAACGCCAAATGTGCAACTTTGGTATGACTCACTCGGTTCTTCGACCATATATGAGTGTTACTTCGCTTGCATCTGCATGAAATCAGTCGTTTTTCTTCTCCGCATGCTTCTTAATCGCCCCCTTCTCCAAATATTTGTCGACCATAACTTTCGTGAGTGGCACATTGTCGATCGCCGGTGCCTCCTGTTTCCACCCGGTCATCTAGCATTTATTCGCATTTATGGTTATTTGGAACTCCAGAGGAGACGCTGAAATCGAGCGCACAACGTTTTACCACTTCATTCGAACATACCTTTTAATGGGTATGAAGTTTGCACTGAATTGGCATTGGGTGCAGTCAAATGACTGTAGCAGCGCATACTCGGCCGCTTCTGTTATAAATGCTGTTACTAATGTCATGTCAACATTGTTTTCGCTTCCCTTTTTTATGTCATCTTTCTTTAAATCTCAGCTATGTTTCAGTTGTGCTCCTGCATGCAAGAATTTTTTTTCGTGTCGTTTCCCGACTTTACGGAGTTTCCTTATCCTTTTCCAGTTACTTTCCTTCGGCATTGTGGTAGCCGATTACCTTGATCACTTACTGTTCTGTGCCAACTCACCGGTTTCCACCGGGGGCTCTTATCCCAACAAGACGGTCAGCTGCCTCGGCTCATCCAGTATGCCAATTCTTCCCGCTGTTGTTTTCGGAGCATTCAATGGTGAGCCCCTCCAGCAGTTCTGCAATGCGGCCTACTTGTTCACGTCACGAACTTGGCAATCATTTGTACTAACGACAGGGCAGCTCTGCTTTTTGTTCATCTGTCAGCTTCATCGGTTCATCCTACATACGACTTATCTGTTTATCACTTTTTAATTGTCCTTCATGTGGGACACTTTTCGTTCGTGCTCGACAGCGTTGCAACTGGCAGTTACCTCTCATTTAACATG